ACGGGAGACAGTCATGCAGGGCAATGACAACACAGGGAAATGGGAAGAGCGCCACCAAGGGGTAGATATGAGGGGCTGGGAGAGGCAGCAAAGACCTCCGCTCGGAGTGTCAAGGGAGGTGTGGTGGATGGGGTGGCACGTGAGCTTCCCTCGTCTGGATGAGCAGGAAGGAGGGGACAGTAGAATGGAGGGAGAATAGACAACAAGGCAGCACAGGCATTTAGGGTCCGGGGTATGGCAAAGGATCAAAGCCTCTTCCAAACCTTGACCCTGGACCCAGACCTGGGGCCTGACACTGGGACAGGGTATCACTTAATTGCAAATGGTAATCACAGCCAGGAAGACTAACTTGCTGATTCTAAGGAGCTAAGAAGAGAGGGAAATCCTCCCAGACAGTAGGCAACTGAACAGACACCTAAGAAAGGAGAAAAACAGAGAACCCCATGAGGAGACAAGACTGGGACCTAAGAGTCCATTTCTGCGTGAGACAGAAGCTTAGTGGTGGAGACTAGAGCATATCTACGGCCTTAGACTGGGGCAGGGAGGGAGGCCCTGAGGCCTTCCAACGTCTGCAAGCGAATGCAGGGGCTTGGGATTGAGAGCAAGCCACCTCGTATCAGAGTGGAGGATGCTTGGCAGGCTGAATAATGGCTCCCAAAGATGCCCAGGGCCTGATCTCTGGAACCTGTGAATGTCACCTGTGAATGGCAAAAGGGACTTTCCTGGTATGTTTAAATGAAGACTCCTGAGATGGAGAGATTATCCTGGATTATCTGGGTGGGCCCAGTGTAGTCCCAAGGGTCCTTATAAGAAAGAGTCCTGGCAGACAGCTGGGTGACTCAGAGATCAGTGACGCACCTTAAAGATGGAGGAGATGGCCACAAACCAAGGAACCCAGGTGGCTTTGAGAAGCTGGAAGGGGCAAGGAAGGGATTCTCCCCTAGAGCCTCCAAAAGGAGCCAGCTTACTGACCCCTTGAGTTTAGCCCACTGAAACTGGGTTTGAACCTCTGGCCCCCAGAAGAGTCAGGGAATACATTTATATTTTTTGAAGCCACCCAGTTCGTGGCGGTTTGTTACAACAGCCCTAGGAAACCAACACAGGAAGCGAGGTCACGCTCATGTTGGGAAGGCGGGGGGACTTAGTGAAGGGCTTCGAGTTGAGGAGTCATATGATTAAGTGGCATTGTAAGAAGATAACTGTAATGCAGAATAGACTAGAATGGCAGGAAACCGAAGAAAAGGAGACACATGAGGAAGCAGTTTCAGTTCTTATGAGAGCTAATATTGTAAACTCATACAACTTTGGGAAATGGACAGGAGAAGACACCTGTTGGAGAAGTATTTAGGTGGTAGAAAGAATAGCACGTTGTAAATGAGTGAATGTGGAGGATGGAGGGAGGAGAGCATCTAGAAGGAACTCCTCATTTTGTGTGGTGACCCCTCAACGTAGTGGACAAATCCACTAGTGGATACAGAGAAAAAAGATGGAGACCACTGATGTCCCTGCAGAATATCCAGGTAGAAATGCTCAACACTCAAGGGAAAATGAGGTCTTGAGTCTCAAGGGAAGGATTAGAGATAAAGGTTGAGGTGGACATAGAAGAGAATCCCCCAGCAACAGTGAAGAAGAGCTGAACATTACAGATGAAATTCTGGAAAATAAGCAAAATGTAAATGATTTCTTTAGAGGAATAAGGGGAAAAAGGAATGAGAAATAAAGCCCAAAGATTTATGAAGAGAATCTGGAGAGAACAGAATCGGAGACATCAAGGGAAGAGAGAATTTTTGAAAAGGCAGACCTGGTCAAGAGGGACGAATTCTTCAGCTGACATAGATAAAATGATCACTGAATGGAAAAGTGAATCTCTGACTAGGAAGCCCTTGATTTCCATCTCCAGAGCTATTTCTGTAGAATGAAAGGAGTTGAAAGCAAATAATAATAATTTGAAGAGTGAAAAGAAGTTGAGGAAGTAGAGAAAAGATGCATAAACTACTCGCTCAGGAAGTTTGGTTTGTAATATGTTGAAAGGAAACAGTGGTAAAAGAGTTGCATGTTTATAAAACTACTATTTGGGGGGAAGACAGAAGGTTGGCAGAGGGATAATTCAAGTGGTTGAAGGGTTGTAAAGGTGAAAGATGAAGACACTATTGAATGAGTGGGGTCCAAGACGAAGCAGACAGGGATAGAGGCTGCCGTACAGGTGAGTTTAGCCTGAAGAGGAAGGAACTCACTACATTTTCTGAGGCAGGAGGGCAAAGAACAATGAGAGCAGATAAAAGTCAGGTTAGCAGTGGAGAGAGGGGAGGTTGAAAAATTTCAGTTCTGATAGTCCTTATTTGCTCTGTAAAAAAAAAAAAAATAGGAGAGGCTAATCTTAAGCAATGGAAGTGGAAGTTTATTTTTCATAGGCTTCAGTCAGACTTACTGAAAGACAGATGTTCCTAAATGTTGGTATGGCCAAACCATATAGTGGTAGTATGACAACTAAGTGCATGATGGATGGAAGGCTGCCTTCTGAGGATCTGGCCAAAAATATCCATCTGTGAGTGTTCATCAGTCAGGCAGAACTAGAGCACTCTGCATGTCTGTAATCAAACCCACTTGGCAAGTTGCCGCATCAGAAGGGCTTTTCCTACAATTCCCACAGCTGCCACCACCCCTTCTCCCACCACCACCAATAACCACAATAAACACCTGTTGGGGGCTTACCATGTGCTCCGCTCTGTGTCGGATCCTGCTAAGTTAAAGTTGAGGAAGGCATGGAACCTACCTTTGAGAGATTTTGTAGTGACTTGTGGAGGAAGAGGACAATCTTGGCTCTAGTGCCTGAGAAAGGTGCTCACATAAAGAGGGGCTCACAAACTATCAGAGCTGGAAGGAACCACAGAAGGCATTACAGATGAGGTCCCGACAGTGAACTAAGCAAAAGTCACCCGACCGATGCCAAGAGACCCAACCTGTAAGTCCTGGGTATTTTCTACTTCATTTCACCCCTAACAAGCTTCCTTTCCTATTCAATCTGTGAGCAATTTTAGGTGCAAAAATAAACAACAAAGGAACCCTTTTCACTAGAAGGTTTTGAAAGTCAGAGCAGGCAAGAACATATCATCAAAGGACTCGAGTCCAACAAGATGTCACTTTTATGTCATGTCACCACTAGTGTATAAATCCCATTCTGGAGCAATCCTCTCAGAGTGCAGAAAAGTGGAAGAAAATCTTCCTCTGTTTTATGTATTTATAAGTCTTCATCAGTAGCATACTTCATGCTTTTGGAAGAAAAGGAAATTAGCACCTAGGGAGGAGAAAACCATTTAAGAGTACTAAGCAGACCAAACAATAAAATAAATAAATAAACTCTATGTGATGCAGAGTAAGATCTGGGAGGGGGGTGGTGGTATACATGGACAACTGAGAGAGAGCTAAAGAGACATATTACAACGTTCGAGTATCTTCTAAGATCAGTAACAGGCAAGGGGTTGTATACAGAATACTTAGAAGAACTAAAGTCACCAGTGGGAGTGTGACAAAATGAACTCCTCCTTGGTAAGAATGGCTTGAGATCAACGTGGGGAGGGCACAGTGCCAAGGTCATGGATATATCTTCCTCCTGGGCTCAGTGTTGAACTTCAAGGATACCGCAACCCTCGGGATAGAAGCAAGGAATAGAACCAGGGGTTCCGGGGAAGGTCAGACTTCCCAGCAGTCCCAGCAGTCCCAGCAGTCCCAGAACCCGGCCATCCTTGAACCACTGGCAAACAGAAACAGGGGAGGAATTAGCCTTTTGATTCAATCACTAAGCTCTGGCATAGAAATGTAAGAAAGCTTTGCCAGCTGGAACTGGCCTTATCTACATTTGCTTACATGACACTCCTTTCTTGGCAAATTGGAATCAGAACAGAATTTTCAGAGATGGAAGTTTGAAAGGATACTAGAAGCCTGTGATTGTGTCTTTGAGTTTAGGGGAATCAGGGCTTGGAGGGAAATGCCTGCAACAACTGGAGCCCAGACACAAGCCTCGTGCTTCTTCTGGAAGGAAATGCCCCGTGGCGAGAGAGGGCCTCGTGCCTCTGCTACCTCTTGAGCAAGACAAAACAGAAATTTGTATGGAGCTCAGAGAGTCAAGAGCATCTCAGGCATGGGGGCAAATTTTCCACCGCAGCATTGCTGACACAGAAGGTCCCTCATTGCAGAGGGACTCCTGATCATTAAATCTTAGGATGACCAACTTCTTGAGTTTCCATTGCACTAATTTCATCGCTTGCCCTTTAGCAACTCACACAACCATAACTTGGCCTCATCAGAATGCCACGAGGGTAAGCTCAGAAGAAATTCCATGAATGGCAATTCTACATCAGTCTTGGTTGATCAGAATACATATTTGCCAGCCAGTACTCCTCCCATACCAGAAGGTGAATTCAGAAGGTTTGAGTAATTCCAATTTCTTATACTTATTTGGACTGAATACTAACTTGCTATCCAACTATTTGTAAGGCTGTTATCCAGAGCTGTATAAACACTTGAGCCTATGGAGATTTCCTCTTAGCACAAATCAGTGGGGCAAAAAATGGGCCTAAACACAGGATAGAGTGAGAAGAGGTTTGCTCTGTGGTTATTGGAAGGGGTTGCCAGCCAGGGAGGGCGGAGGTAGGACATAGCGGGGCAGACTGTGACACTCTCCTGCTTCTCCCCTGTTCCATAAGAACAGTCGAACTCTTTGCCCTTGCTATGAGAGCAGAATGCATGGGGACTGGTAAAAACCTTTAGAGGACTCTGTCCATGATAACTAACACAGTGACCATACACTTTTGACCCCATCCTGTATCTAAAGTTTCCCCAAACACTCCAACCTTGGCAATTTTAAGGATGGGCACAGAACATTGAGGCGACATCTGAATTAGTCCTTCACCAACAGACTCCTTTAGTTTGGTCCCATGATTCGCACCTAGACAACCATACCTGTATGGGGTGTAGAATCTGCTGACGAGCTCAACACTCACCTTTGCTGATGTCCTCATATTCCAGCCAGAGTCGCCGCTGCACCTGCTTGTTTGGGTACCAGATGGAACAGGACTCCTCAAAGCCATAGATAGCTTCCTGGATGTAATGGTTGCCAAACTGGTCCAACAAGGCCACAAAATCCCCACGCGATGTAGCCCCGTCCAGGGAGTGGAGCGCATTGCTGAGGGCTATGGAGAAACATCACCCAAGAGTAAGAGTGAGGACTCACAGGGTAAGTATCTGGATTCCTGGGCCATTCGGCCTCTAAAGTGGAAGCGCCCGTGTGGCCCAAAGTGATGCTGGAGAGCTGGCTGGACCTACCAGCTGAACGTTTCCAGTTAGCTAAATCAGACATTTTCGTTCCTCAGTGAGTATCTCTCAGGCCAGTTGGTTATGTTGTTAACTTCGTGCAGGCAGAACACTGCCAAATCTAACTCCCTGCTTAAGTCAATGTTATTTTTTTCTTTTTCAAATCGTAAGTCATGACATTAAATCAATTTAGGAGCTCAAATAATGGCGTTTCAAAAAAAAAAAAAAAAGAATAGCATAGTCTAAAATAGAAACACAAATACCAGCAAAGAACATTTCACATCGTAAAATGAAGTCCTGCTTCACCAAATTTCCATTGTGTGTATGTGGGAGTGTGCATATTTCAAGGTCATGGTGTAAAAAAAATGTATTCTAACTGTGGGTAGTGACCAAAAGAGTGTTTGGAAGTAGAATATTGCCTCTAGACATAGACACTGGTATTGGGAAGATAATGGAAGAAGGGGGGTGAGAAAAGTCACTCATAAACTGCTTATATTTACTTCAGAAAATCAAAAGCATATGGACAGGGAGCTGGCGATTCTGCTCGCCCCCCTCCCGCATCCCCTGCCAAATCTCCATAGATTTGCTTTTCCTGTTGAGGAGAATTACACTGGTTGGAAAGATAGCCCATGACAAATTTTCCAAATCCAATACCTCCTGAACCTGGCCAGATTTAGTCAGCCTTCCTATGTCCACACCTTTGTCCTATCAGGACAAGGCAGAGCCTGGCCCGGGCACGAGAGCCCGAGTGCAGAAGTTCACGTCACCTGTGGTGCCTCGGGTGGCTTTGTTAAGCCCCAGTGAGCACGACACATGTGCCGGGAGCAGGCTCAGCATGCGAACAGGGCAGAGTCTCCACTGCTACGTTTTCCTAGAATGAGGAGTTGCTTAGTTCTTTCGAGGTTTTTCTGTGCCAGCAGAGTTTACTTCAGTAAGATTCCCCATCCCAATCCCTTCTTGCCGAGAACTCTTTCAGGTTAAAATAAACAGGGTTCTGAGTGCCCTTGTGTCCTATGGAAATGTTCTACATCCTTAATGCATTTTCTTTCCCTATGCATAAAGCTTTACCTTTTCTAAATATGTCCTGCTTCCTCTTTATAATCCTGTCCCCTATTTTTATTTCTCTCCTATTGGTGCCAAGGCTCTACCTCCCTATTGCTGACCTGAAGATCCCTCTCCTTGTCTTGTCATCCCATGCCAACAATATCATCTGGCTCTAGTTACCTTCTCATCCAACACAGAGAAACCAGACTCTATGGCATAAAATTCCCCTCTGGTACATTCCTTAGCTGGCTTCAGAGGAAGGAGTTGAGTAAGGTTCACCTAGTCCAAGCGGATGAGTTGAAATGGAGATGTGTACCTCTATTAAGGCCTTATTTGTAGCAACTAATTTTCCCATCTGCAAATTGCACATTAGGATTGCTTAAGTGCTAGGAAAAACTTGATTCAAGTCATTTACCGCTCAAATGTAAAGAATACTTGTACAAGGTGCCTCACTGTTCTGGATCAATTTGTCCTGGTTTTTGGAATTCACTGTTCCTTAACTTATTAGGTATCTAGCTCTCTTGCCTATCATCTATCTGTCTTTCGCTCACTTGCTGTTTAGGGACCATAAAAGCTGTTTTCTATCCCCTCCCCGCCCCCTCCTCTTTCTTGCTCTTCTTCCATATTTCTTTCATTGTATGAAAACTCTAAGTGATGCTCTTTGCGTTTGGAAGGTTTTATTCTGTCAATTTATAAAAAGTCTGCTTTTGGGGGCACCTGGGTGGCTCAGTCAGTTAAGCGTCTGCCTTCAGCTCAGGTCATGATCTCAGGGTCCTGGGATCGAGTCCCGCATCGGGCTCCCTGCTCAGCGGGGGAGTCTGCCTCTCCCTCTCCCTCTGCCCTTCTCTCTGCTTATGCTCTCTCTCTCTCAAATAAATAAATAAATCTTTTTTTAAAAAAAAAAAAGTCTGCTTTTGCATATCCTCTCTGTACACTGTGTGACCCCAGGAAGAAAGATAAGGTAGGTGTTTATCTTCAGCGGCCCTGCCTTGCCCTTCCCATCACTTCTATAGTCCAAGATAAAACTTGCAATTTAATCTATCTTTAGACAAGGATCCGATTCCAGGTGTTTGCCCTTAAGGGTGAATCTGAGTGAATAGGTTCTGTATCTCACGAAGTGGCTACATTTTCGACTGTATCTGCAACAATGGGATAAAAGGCTTGTGCCCTTGGAAAGGCTCTCCACGCCCCAGGAACAGGGGGAGGGACGGCTTGCTGCCGTGCTCACCCTGAGAGACGGCCACTTGGTTGAGTTTGATGTGGTACATCACAGACCGGACCTTCCAGTGCTGCAACACGGGGTATCCAGACACCTCACTGAAGTTCACCATTCCTGGGGACAGAGGAGACGCGGGCTCAGTGTGCGCGACTGATTCACAGGTCCCAAGTCTACTGGGTTAGCAGGTGTCATTGTGAGAAAACGAGAAAGCGTTCTTTGATGGAGAGAATTTCTGGAATCACAGTGACAACTCTCACTTATTGAATCCTTCCCCTGTGGCAGACATTTTGCTAAGAAGTCATTTGATCATTACAAGATAGGTGTTACGATTTGCACTTCATAAACGGGGACACTGGGGTCCAGAGAGGGTGTTTGCTTAAGGGCCCCAGGCCACCAGGTGGAGCCAGGATGGAGTTCCAGATGTATCTGAGACAGGGCGGGGTTCCTAACCATTCTATAATATTCCCTTAGTAAATTTATATGAAACTCTAGGCTTACTGTAACACACGCGAGTTTTACTCTCTTTAATAGCTATAGTAATTGACTCAGCTCACGTACCTGATAACATTGATTTTTCTGTCCCGTTTAACTGATTTGTGTTCAGTATTTAAGTTTTAATTACTCTGAAGCTGATAATGCTGATTTCTTCCTCACCAGGAGGGAGAGGGTCAGTGTGACTCAGTCATTAAGGAGCAGGGTGGCCCCGTAGGGACAGCCATCTACGTGTCAGAGACTGTAATAGACACTTTATTTGTGGTTTCCCTTTTACCAATGGGAGAACTGAGAAGCCAAGGTACTTGTCCAAAGTCATTCTCAACAAGCACATCCTTGTAGCCGCTTAGACATGCTAAAATGGGCTATTCCTGCTTGAGCACTGTGGAGAAAGAGTGGCATCCTGTTTGAATTCTCGTATTACTATAAATATAAAATGCTACAGAAACAAAATAATTAGACCACAAGGAATAAAAAAAAATCACCTTGCTAAGCTTAGAAAACTAATTTTAGCTTCATTTCTATGCCTAACGTTTGCTATGTGTGTAAGTTAGAGGAATAAATATATATGGGTATGCATGTGTGTAAGTGCATATATACATATATCTGTAAATAGAATGGCAATATGTATAGAAACTTTAGATAGATACTGTGTATAAATATTATGTGTATAATGTGTATAAATATAATGGCAATAATACATACCTACTGAATTATCCTGCCATTGTGACCCATGCCTCCTTCAGGCTAAATCAACAAATTTAATACATAAACTGGATGAAGAGGGGGCGGGATTAATTAGCTGCTTGTCAACTCTGATCAAATTAGTTGAGTAACTGCCAAATTTCCATTTCAGTGTGAATCATACAGGAATAATTACCGGTAAGGCAAAAAGCAAAAAGGTCAGAAGGGGTGCTTAGGGAATCGATTGCTTAAATTTCATCTTGGGCTATCAAAGGTAAGTTACTTGAAACTAAAACAAGGTTTTCAGTACCTTTTTTCTTTCAAATGTTCTTCTTTCAGGGCATTAAGCTTTTTGACAACAGTTATACTACTACATACTCTGGTTTTTCACCTTTAGGTTAATTTTAAAAGCATATAAATGAAATTCGAACTTTACAGGATTAACACCCCAGTCACATACCTCCAAGGCACGTTTCATTAGGGCGTAAATGCTTTGTGGAACCATTGTACATAACGTGCCTTCTCTAGTTATGTCAGCTCACCAGCTTGCTGTTATTTCAAAAAGCCTATTAATAAAAAAAAAATAGCAAGCCCAATCAATGAAGACTTTTCAGTATACTGGAAAACATTCCCTTTAATGGAGTTGTTTCCTAGTGGGAAAAGAAATGGGCGGGAAACCAGGAGGCCGGAGTTCTAACACCAGCCATGTTGCCGGAGGGGCAGTTTCTGCTGCCAGCCCTGGGCTGACTTCCTCTCTGGCTACCTGGCTGCCGGACCTTTTGGTTGCCAGGGACTTCAGCTGTCAGGCGAGAGGCTTAGCTAAGGTGACCTCTTGCCTCCTCTTCAATCCTGAGGTTCCGACCAGCTCTGTGACTTTGGGCCCGGCAACTCCTAAGTTTCCGTTTTCCTATCTGAAAAGTGGCAATACTGGTATTCATCTTACCTGCTTCACAGGTAGGTTGCCAGAACCCAATAAAGTTCTGGGCATGAAACTACGCTGAGAAAAAAATAAAGCATTGTGTACACGCACGGCTTCTATAATTGTCACCGCCTCATCACCCCTAATTGTGTACACTGGCCATTTCTTCCTAGATGCTTTTGTTATAAATTCTTGGGCTTTAGTTCAGAACAATGAGTGAAGAAAAAATAAAGAAGGCAGGGATGTAAGGGGATAGGAAGGGATTACGGTGTCCCATGTTCACCCAAAATGAGCCAAGCAACTGAGCCCCATTGCTTAGTCACAGAACAACAATCTTACTGAGTGCATCTCGGCTCCACCAGAATCAGGGAGACAGGTGCAGAACTGTCAGTGCTTGGGAGGTATCTGAGCCTGCATACGGATAATATGTCCATAGTTAAAAAGAATGGGATATTTTAAAGTATATATTTTCTAGCTGGGTCATAGGATTCTTTCTCACTGTGCCCTTGACATGTAATCAGCTCTAGTTTTTATTTTATTTTATTATTGTTTGGGAATACATCTCTCAATGACTCTTTTTCCAAACAAAATATCTCTGACTGTTTTCTCAAGAAAGAACATGCTTTCCCCTACCTATGCTTGAAAAAAAAGAATGACTGAATAGACTTCTATGAGAGGAAGGGAGGGAGGGAGGAAGGAAGGAAGGAAGGAAGGAAGGAAGGAAGGAAGGAAAGAAGGAAGGAGGGAAGGGAGGGAGGGAGGAAGAAGAAAGGAAGGAAGGAAGGAGGGAAGGGAGGGAGGGAGGAAAGATTGGTTTCTCCTGCTACCTTATTTGAAATGTCATGGAAATATATTATGCCCAAGAGTTCTAAAAATCTGTTTCTTGCGATGAACCTGAAGAAGTTCCAGGGAGATCAGAGCTCTAAATCTTCACATAGATTTAGCAATTATGGCATCCATTGGCCCATGAATGTGGCCAGCAGCCTCCTCTCCCTCCTTGGTCTACTTCCAGAGTCTTCTTTTTCTCAACTGAGAGACTCATAATACAAAGGGGCAATGGCCTGACCATATATAAAAATAGAACTCTGACCCATAATCTGCCCCAAAAAGCCCAGGAAACCAACCTATCATCTCTAGTAACCAGCCCAAGGAGCTAGTCTACTGTCTGTAAATCAGACTTAAGAGAAGTCAGACCACTATCTCTAGTGACCAGCCCAGGAAGCCAAACAATATGTTCTGTAAAAATTGGCCCAACATGTCCAGGACTTGATTGATCACTGATAGCTTTCCTGATTTGTGTTCTTGATTCCAACTTAGGTTCAACCAGAGAAAGGCAAATACGTACCCCTAAACATCTGCCTAGAATGCCTCATTCCTCCATAGTTAGTTGGCCCACCTACATGCCAACAGTCTCCAATCAGGGCACACCTGAAGCCCTCACTTGTTTCCTCTAAAGCTCTCCTACTCCTCTGTCTGCCCTTCAGTCTCAGCCAAGATGCAAGCGATGGTGGCTGAATCCTTTGCTATAGCCAGCTCTGAATAAGAAGACTTCACCTGTTTTAATCTGACTGCTCTTCATTTATTTCCACACAACTTGTCACACCCAAAAGTCTGGTAAGGCTCAGAGTTCTTAACTCTTATTTTGATGAAGAGGGAAGCAGCACTCAGCAAGATAAAGCGCATAAATCAATATTTTCCAGTATGTTCTTCAAACCAATAACTCTGAAAGATGGAAATAGTTATTATGTGTAAAAGGATTCTCTGGTTAAACAGGTTTGGGAATTGCTGGGTCAAGTGAAGTAGAAGGGAGTTCTTCACTATAGGGCTGCTGGGGACCTGTCTCTCTAAGCTAAGGTGTTGCAAATTGCTGAGAGGTAGATACTATAGTCTTTCCAAATGTATTTAAAGAAAGAACCTATTTATGAGTGGAGCACTGGTTTTTCATGAAAAAAAAACACCACCGTGCTTGTAAATGCTGAGGTTGAAGATTCTGAAGATCACTTTAGCTCTAAAATCTTCTAAGCTTGTAGGTTTATGGGGATTATGACCTATAATAGCACTTAGTGCAACATGATACAATATTCTCTCTGTGACTCTCAGGAAAGATACAATTAAAATGTTACCAGAACTAGAAAGTTAATATGGGAGAAATTTGGTCAACCATCTCTTTAATTCTTCTAGTCATTCTGGGCTTTAAGAAAAAAAAAAAACAAGACTGAACCTTTGTACATCAAATGTTAGACTTGACTTTCTCAAGGCCATGAAAAATGGAAGTGATCCATATGGACATCCTTCTACTCCTTTTACCTCCAATATGCCAAATTAGGAGAGGTCCAAGGGCACTGGGGAGAAAGAAATTTCTGTTGTGGACGAGGACCCGGTTTGGATTTGTTCCTTATTTCCAAAGATGTAGATTCAAACGTGGTCTTCTGATGTCTCTCAGATCTAGCCATGCACTCCTCCAAAAAAGCCTCAGGTAACATCCAGGACAACTCTATGTCCTCCCAGCCTAGCGACTGAAGTAAAATCTCCTCACCTCCACAATAAATTATTACGTGTGAGGTCTTGGTGGATCTTTAAACAGAAGACACATATCTCTGGTGTGGAACCTGTCCTATTTGTGTGTGTCACATCACACTTCCCTTTATATATATTTTACACACACACAGGAAGTATTCCTCAGCAAACGATGTGGAAACAAGAAAATTAGATTCTCTAACACTAGAGATAGAAGCTTTAGACATATGTCCAAAGGCTGCATTTTAATTTTTTCCATTCAGGGTGTTTGTCTGTGTGAGTGTGTCATCTTTCAGACAGCAACTGATTCTGATGACATTTGTTTCTGGTCCAGAATATATTTAAGTTGTTTTCTCTTACTCCCTCTGTTTCTATAGGAAAAACACTATTTGGTAGTTTTTGAATGTTCATGTTCTTTTCCTTCCTTGATATACTTATTTATTTAACAAACATAGATCCCACTATGCATCAGGAACTATTCTAAAAACTTTACAAATATTAATTTATTTATTCCTTGTATCCATCCTATAAGGAAGACAGTTTTATATTCATTTTCACAGGTAAAAATATTGAGGCACAGTGAAGGTAGGCAACTTGTCCAAGATCACACAGCCAGTGAAGAGTTGAGCCAGGTGTCAGGCTCCAGAGTCTATGTGATTGCTACACAATACTCCCTCAGACAGACCTACTTCTAATCTGGCTCAGGTCTAAAATAAAGTTTTAAACATAACTTGATATCTTGAAAAGGCTTGTCCTCAGCACAATCTATTCTTCTGAAAAGGAAAGAAAAAGGACAGAAAGGCATAGGTTAAAGGAGACATGGAATGAGGAAAGAAGAGAAGTAATGGAGAAATGAACAAACCAGCAGTGGAGCTGAGCTCACATCCAACTTTCTAGCAAGCGATGCTGAGTTCCTGGTTGGCTGTCCCTTATGGGTCCATCGGACCCTCTGAAGTGTCTTGTTTGGTCCAGGAGGCGTTAATGGGTGGGCGGGGGGTGGTCTTTAGAGGCTCCTGCCTCTTCCAATCAACCCATACCTTAATTCCATAATGATCCCAGGGCAAGAATGTCACTGGGCTCAAACAGCATTGAGGGGCATTATCTCCAACTTGTGACGAGAGCCATGAGCCCCCAAGAGATTGCATTGTCTAAGGTCACACAACTAGAAAGCAGCAGAGCCATGACTCAAAGGCAGGGTCATTTGACAACAAATCTCTGTCATTTTCTCCATAAGTACCTGCCAGGGAACCCAATGGCCCCAGTGACAGATATCTAGGTGATGGTAGCCATCCACCTTCTCTCTGACTCTACTCCCCTTAATCCACTGAGACCTCTGAACTTCTACCCATCTATTATGCCATCTGTTTTCAAAGCATCCCAATAAGACTAGCGGGGAAAGGTATTATTAGACCACTTTTGCAGATGATTATATAATAATCTTGGCAATTTCACTGACAAATAATCCTACTAGAGTGTTTTAGAATTGAGCTTTTATTGTGTATCAAGGAAATCATTGGCTTCAAAATGAAAACAAGAGAGGTCAAGAGTTTTGAGATTATGAAACTGTTGGGAGCTGCCTGGTTTTTACCAGATGAGTAAGGGCAGGAGGCACACTCACCAGTCAGGAACTCGGGGTCGGGGGTGGGCTCCGAGATTTCCTCCAGGCACTGATTCTCCAGGGGGACAGTGGCCACCACAAGACCATCTGGCAGTTGCTGGTCTAAACCTCGAGCAAAGTTGTTTTGCCTGGAAACAGAAGCAGATTTCCATTTCTGAGTGTTAAGGTGAACCTCACCCCTCGGTGGGCAATCTATATCTCAGCCTACAATAAAAAAAAAATTCTTCCTGGACCAAAAGGTTCCCCTCCTTGGGAACTGAACCCCACTTGATGGACATGTCTGGAGCAGGACAGGGTGTGAGAGGTAGGGTGAGGGCTAGGACAGAAGAGAAAGAAATCAGCTGAAAAGGTCTACTCAGAAGATCAAGAACATTCTTCCCTCCCTCCCATCCCAGGCCCTATTCCCCGATCCCCACTGCACAAGATCTAGGCAGACTCAGTCTCATTTCTAGACTACAGAGAAAATTCTAGCCACCACAAGATTAGCTATGACACCTTACTGCTTGCCACTGGCAAATGAAATCCCAACCTAAAAGGGGAAATATTAATAAAGCCCACTGTCTGTAACAGAAACAGCAACTGACTTCAAGAACTGGTTTGGATACTTACTACTCGTTTGCTCGTAGGAGTCCAGGCCTAGGTTGCTATCAATTGCTGGCCCATATTATGACATTCTCCTCCTCCTCCCCACTCCCTCCCTCCTCCTCTTCTCCCTCATCATCATTATCTCCTGGAAAGCATGATTTCTCAGGAAGATGTACTCTAATAGTCTAAGAGAGAATAGGAACAGGGGTCAAATGGAGAATTTCCAAGAAATATTCTAAATCAATGGTTCCAAACATTTTGTTCTCAGGACCTCTTTATAAAAGTTTTAAAAGTAAATGAAAGCTCCAAGTAGCTTTTGTTTGTGTGGATTATATCTGTCCATATTTACCATATTGGAAATTGAAAGAGAAATTTTAGAAATATGTATTAATCCAACTAAAAATGACAATAATCAACCCACTAAATCTGAACATACTATGAAAAATGATGAGAAGAGTGGCATTTTTAAAATATTTTTTGCAAATTTTTTAAATGTCTGACTTAATAGAAGACAGCTGGATTCTCACCTCTGCATGCAACTTACTGCAAGATATTGTTTGGGTTGATGTGAATGGAGAAAACCCAGCCTCTCTGTAGTTGGGAAAGGCAGGACTTTGAATATCCCCTGAAAGGATCTCAGCGACCCTCGGGATCCGTGGCCCATACTTGAGACTGCTATTCTAGACTGACTCACGCACTGATTCTTCCACGCAGAGCAAAACAGAACCTGAGCATTCTCTGGTGGCTTCCACGGCAAATCTTGCAGTCTCTGCCTGGGCAAGACAGAAATTTATTTAACACTCTACTGTTCACCTAGAGGAAGCATGGTTCCCGGGTTCTAGAAAGAGGAGAAGACCATGGGAGAGAACTCAACCTGTCCTTTTAGGATCATGTTCACCTTGCTCCAAGGTGCAAAACTTCACACTGACTTTAAAGCTCTTCAGGGAAGAAGATCCATCAGTATCCCTGAGTAACCAGTTCCATAGACATGAGATTCACCTGAATGTTCCTTTCAGCACTTGTCCTGCAGCCACTTCCTTGGAATGGTTGTTATAACCAAAGAACATCTCCCCAAAGAGGGTCTGGTTCATGGGAACCTCCCTGCTTTCCCCACAGTCTCCTCCCTCCGGGCAGGTCTCCACGATGAGTTGGCAAGAGCGACCATCCAAACCGAGCTTGTAATCCTCGATGCACCTAACACAGTAGGAAACTCAAGATAAAAAGTTGTTCCATCAATGAGCTATGCAGTCAACCCAACCCAACAGATTGGGAAGAAATGCCTCTGGGAGAGTGCTGGGTGGTAAAGATGATGAGTATCCCAGTTTGATTTTGTCCCCTTTAGGACTCAGTTTCTTAAGCCTACAAACCAAGTCTCTTTCCATTATGTGACTGTACAGAACCTCTCACCTTTCCTTTGCAGATAAGTGCTTTCAGAGCTTTAGAGTGCTTTCTCCTCTAAGTGGATCCTCTCCTAGATAGGTCAGGGTAAGAGTCCCTGGAGATAAGCTTCTAAGCAAGTCACCACATTTAAACCTGAGATATTCTAGAACCTTTCTCCAGGACCATCTATGTGGCCAGACCCTGCATTTGTCTGGAGGGTAATTAGGCAGCAAGAGGAATGACACTGTGCTTAAGAAATTAATAACCTGCTAATCCAGTCCTGTGACAAGTCAACTAAAAAATTAGAAAGACTGATCATCTTCTGACTGTGTACTGTTTGAATGTGTCCAAGCCCAAGATCATCCCAGATTAACTCCCCCTCCATTCAGAGTAGCCTTCCTGAACTAAACAGACACTAGGGCACGCCGTGTGAACACCTCCTTGGCGTCCCTCCCCATTAAGCATGTACAGTTACTCTAATGGAAGAGCAATACTGATGTTGGTAAACATGGCTCAATGACCTATAAGTCATTAACTGGACCTTATTTGTAGTTATATTGAGAAGAATATAATTTGTTAGTTCAAGAACTATTTTGATAAACCTGTCATTTAAAAAGCATATTAATTTCATGTGGGTCTCTCCTTAAACTATACCAGATTTAGAATTTATAGATGCTCATGACATTAAAACACATTGTTTATTACTATCCATGGTAATTGTTGTAACAAGATGAAGACCTCTGTTCTATATGGAGGAACCAATAATCATAGTGTTAAGTGGGGAGAAGCAGTGATTTTGCCCTTTACTGGGTGACCTCGGGTCAGCTGATGAAACTCTCTGAGTTTCAGTTTCCACATCTGTAAAAAGTGGGGGGAAAGAGCTGCTCTGAAGGGTTGTTGAGAAGATCACATGAGACAACGAACTTAGAGACCTTACAGTGTCCCCAGCAAAGAGCAAATACTCATCAAATCCTATCATTATTACCAGCAGAGGGACAAATGAGGCCCATGTTACCAAAACTTTCTTTGTATTACCCATTTACCACTTACATATTTGTGTTAACCGGTGTGACTAGAGGCCTTTAATTATTAAGTGCAGGTGATTTCAGCTTAACATAAAAATGTGAAGGAAGTCTTTTGGCAGGCTATCGACAGTGGCTTGGAGTGTGCTAAATTCCCACACATACTGAATTCCAACTGAAATAAGCAAGAAATTCCAGTTAGGAACCTACCGCATTAGTGCAGGCCACAGGTTTGATGGGAGATCCACAAAGGACTCTATGGCACCAGCCTAGGTCTGGGACAAGACAGTGAAGTGGCTCCTTCCTGGAGCCCTAACTTACTGTTTCTGGAAAGAACTGTGAAGCTGACTGATTCCCTCTCAGTCCCTCCTGAGCGTCCCGACAGCTCCCCCTTCCACGTTGCCCCACACCCCCATTCTTCTTGCTATTCTTGTGTGTGTCCCACTGTAAACTCCTTTGAGGGCAGAGGCCAGGCTCAGCTCCTGCTGTCTCTCCCGTATCTAACAGCTAACTAGATCCTCTGCACAAACCAGGTGCTCAAATGTATGTTTATTGGGCGCCTGGGTGGCTCAGTTGGTTAAGCGACTGCCTTCAGCTCAGGTCATGATCCCAGGGTCCTGGGATCGAGTCCCACATCGGGCTCCCGGCTCAGCGGGGAGCCTGCTTCTCCCTCTAACCCTCTCCTCTCTCATGCTGTTTCTCTCTCGCTCGCTCTCTAATAAATAAATAAATAAAATCTTTAAAAAAATTTAAAAAATTAAAAATAAAAAAATGTATGTTTATTAAAGAATTTATGAATTTATCTCTATTAACTCAAGTGGGTCAACCATCACGATAACATCATAGAGACATTAAGATTTAGATCAAGCTTCCATTTATGGAATGGGATTTTACAAGAAACTGAGGGTAAAAGCTGTCAACTGAAAAGAAATAAAATACAATGAAGTACAATAAAATAATGTTACCACTCCACCCAATAATCTTGTCATGATTATTCAGTAGGCACTGGCTTTTAGCGACAGAGCTAATATAGCAAAGCTGTATTATTATAAACATTGATTTTCACTGCAAGCCTCTTAGAGTAGGAGATCCTTGAGGGCAAGAACTGCACGTCATTCATCTGTGCTGCCCAGTGGCTGACATGGTTTGTGGCATAACGTATGTACCCTCCCTGACAGGCAGGAAGACAGAGGTGGGGGAGGAGGGGGGCAGGGAAGGAGTGGGGGGAGAGCAGAAGGGAAGGAGGAAGGAAAGGGGAGGGAAGGACAGACAAGCAAACTATGAGTGTTATTTACTTTATAAATATAACATGAAATGGTCTTTAAATATAATTCTAGTCAGTGGTGTAAATTTAAATTTTGAGGTCACCACAGAATTAAAAAAAAAAAAACACAGAGGGCCTGAATTCTAATCCTAATCTTTCCACTTACCAGCTCCCAGTCTTTTTTTTTTTTTTTAAGATTTTATTTATTTGACAGGACAGAGAGAGCACAAGCAGGGGGAGTGGCAGGCTCCTCACTGAGCAGGGAGCCCCACGTGGGGCTCGATCCCAGGACCCTGGGATCATGACCTGAGCTGAAGGCAGACGCTTAGCTACTGAGCCACCCAGGAGCCTCAGCCAGCTCCCAGTCTTGAGGGAGCCACTTAACCCCACTGTGGAGGAACTGCGCTGAGGAATTAATATGTCTGTGGGACGGTGGGCCTTCAGGGGCAGAATTCAATGGCGTTTCCCCTCCTCCAAAGATTTCCCCCTCCCCTTCTTCGATAATTAATTAGTTTTACACAACCTTTCCCACGCTTTTGGACCATGGAATCCTCTCGTCACAAAACACATTAACATAGTTCCACAGAACACAGCCTGGAAAATTCTGGTGTATGCAGGCAATGACTGTGGTCAGGTTCCTCTCCCACAGGGATGGGGCTAGACTTTCCCCAAAGGTCCTCCCAACTCTGATTTAATTTAAAAGTGCTGCCCTTCCAGTCCCGCAGGCTCTTTCCTCAGAGCCTCAGGGCCGGCCGAGGGGGACCTGTTCTTTTAGATTTTCTTTCCTGGTTTTAACGCTGAATGTCCAGCGTCCCAGCAAGCTGGCTGGCCTCCCGGCCGCTCAACTCACCCACAGAACATGAGGATGTTGTACAAGGCGGGGTCGTCCGGGAAGGGCGCCATCTGCTGGAGACACAGCTGCTCGCAGCCGCCGTTGAAGCCGTCTGAGCAGTCCACCCCAATGTGGCGGTCATAGCAGCCAGAGCTGTCCTTCATGGGGCTCAGTCCGGACGGGCACTGGCACAATCAGAAAGCATCCACGCAGGGAGGTGAATCAGGGGACTGGGTTCCCGGGGAACCGTAACCACTGACGCCTATTTTTAGTGCTCAGCCTTGAAACCATTAACGGTGGCAACTAATGCACGAGTTCCCCGCTATGCCGGACTCCCTTTAAAAGCAAGTGACCTTTTTGACATCTCGCTTCTCTCTGGGCACAGATCTCACACATATTTGCATTAAAGTCACTGCCTCCCTACAAGCTGGAAGGGAACGTCACAGCAAGACAGAGTGAGGTGTGCTGGCCTCCCAACTGGGTGAAGGCAGCGGCCGGAATGGAACAGCACAGGGAGTGTTAAGGTTTGCACTTAGTATTAATAGGACTTTTTTTTTTTTTAACATGCAAACACGTTGCCAACGTTGGTACCAGATAGCTGACCGGGCTGGAGGGAATGGACAGGGCGGGGGCTTCCAGCTGGAAGGAGGAAGTGGACTTTGTGACCTTGGAGGGGGTTTGCCCACTCCCCCGGTAGAAGTGGCCATACTTATGACCTCCCTGCCTCGAGGACGCCCTGCGGAAGACGCAAGACAAGGCCATCTGCTACATGAGCACCCATGGGTGCTGCGCTTGGGTTTGGGCTTTAGCCCAGTGTCCTGGACACTCTTATTGTGAAAGAATTTGCTTCTCTGCACTGCTATGTCCTCAGTAAACTCCCCAGGAGTGCCAGCAAAGAAGATGATCCAGCAAGAGATGTCAGCCAGAATCTGGGGCAGACAAAGGGGCTTGGAGAGCCGCAGGGGCTCCCCGGCAGCCCCCATCGTGCACTGGGTCTCACTCATCCGTCTTACTCATTCAGCCCCTGAAACATCCCCTGGAGTATGCAGTATGATCAGCCCCATGTGACATGTAAAGAAACTGTGGGCACAGAAAACATAACTTTGTGAAAGTCCCACAGCTGATCACAGCAAGACCACACCCGAAACTTGGCAGGCTGGCTATGGGAGCCAGGACTCGGCTGGCCCATCGTTAGCTTACACCACGATCAGCCCCTGACACAACAGTCACGGTTTACTGAACATGTCGTGGCAGCTGGGCATTACACTGGCACTCTGGGTATTTCACCTTACAGCACCCTGTATTAGCCTCACCAAATAACTGGAAACCATTAACAAACTGCCAATTAATGCGTGAATTCACTGCCCTGGAGCCCACCAAGTAAGTCAAAGAATATTTTTTGCCTTCCTGCTTCTTCCGCCTGTTCAACGGATCCTGCACATCTGCACTACAGCTGATCCTTCCACACAGGCTGCAAGAGGGCTAATGGCTTGCCCAAGGTCAAGCAGCTAGTATGGGGCAGAGCTGGGGGTCTGTCTAGATCCGACATGCTTTTCATGAATGTGCTCCATACATACGCTTTCAGCTAATTAACACGCTCCCCCAAAACCAAAACCAAACCGAAAATGACTCTCAAAACTTGGTGGAACAGTGTTACCCCCCACCCCCACCTCCCCACCCCCTCTCCTGCCCTGCTGCCTGGCGGCTTCTTTCTCTCGACTGCCAAGCATTTTGGCTCTAGCAGCTTGGAGCTGCTGCAGGTGTGCCCCGGAAAACCCACCTCGCCTCACCCCAAGATCACAGCAGGATATGCACTGTTTGATGACACTAATTCTGCAATTTACCAAACAAATGGTCCCTCTGTGGGCCCGCCAGGCTCCCAGGCTGGTCCATCTCCTTCCTCTGCATGAAGCCAGCTGGAGTGCTGGAAGGTGAGGGCATTGAAAGTCGCTTCCAAGGGCTGCCCCATGCGGTGCAAACCCAGATGTTCCAGATGATGGTAAACAAGCAAATGAGGCGGCTGAGGATGGCCCCCCACGTTTTGTTGGCGCCCCCACCCATCCACTTCCTTGGCCATCCAGCTGTTAGGCCAGATGTGCCACCAGAAGGGGGCTGGCTTCACCACTGTGAGACTGCCCAGGCATGCATGTGGAAGCTTGATTGGAATTAAATGGGCTGCCCTGGTTGCCATGAGTTGTTTTTCTTTTCTCCCTTCTATAGAGCTTGAGAAGAGCCATCAAAGTAGAGACCACGCCAGTCCTCCCACCTCATGGGGTTTCAATGCTTGCATCGGCTAGCACACCAGCCAGGACTCCCATCTTCCTAGCCACCTGCTTTTTTTCACAATGCTCCATCAAGCATGACTTCTGACAAAGACTTCACCAAATGAAACCCAAGCAGGCTTTGTTCCAGAATTCCAAAGCTTGGCATACCCGCATCTTGCCTGGCCTTGATGTCTAGATGCCCACTGCTTTGCCAAATTGGACCACCTGATATTTATACTCTCTTAGGAGATTTGGAGAGAAGATGCTTAGCTGCCTTGCCCAAGATGCACTTTTTGTTGTTGTTGTTGTTGTTACAAGCAAAACTAGAATAATAATAACAGCTGTCAGGGATTAAGCCATTCTATGTGCAGGACAATCTGTATGTGTTATCCTCAATGGCAACAACACAGACTTCTTTCACCTCATTTTACAGAGGAGTAAGCTTAGATTAAGTAGTAACTGGTTTAAGGTCACAGAGGGGGCAAATGGCAGAATCAGATTTTGGACCTAGATCTCTTTGACCCCAAAGCTCATGTCTGTCTCTTCTCCTTTGCTGTGCTGCTTCTCGGGTGTGAGAAAACATGGATTCACTGGAATCCCTAAAGAAATACAGTCAATTCACTACGTCAACAGGTAAAGCAATCCTGTAGATTTGTTGTTTGTTTGATTGTTTTGAGCAACTCCCAGAGTACATTCTGGGATCAATTATGGATTTGTAGGTTTAGCCTAATATTCTCCCTGTTTCTCTTTCTTTTGTGTCTCTCTCACTCCCCTCTGTCTTTCTCTCTCTCTCTCTCTCTCTCTCACACACACACACACTATATTAGGGTTGCACATATTTATAAGGCAAAAACACTCAAAATGTCCAGAGCGATGACCCTGAAGGCAAGACAAGATCCTCAATCACTGAAAAAGATGCAATTATCTTCATTGCACTGTAACTTACTTGGTCTGCAGTTCAGAGAAAAATATTTTTGAAAGATTTCCAGGGAAAAAAGAGGCTGAAACTGAAAATAGAGTTTTCTTCTCAACCCTGGTTGAACCAGTACCCCCATTCTCCAAGGGGTCTGACCAATCAGGTTTCCCACGGTGTAAGTTTGTTTTTGTTTCCACCTACATATTCCTTGTACCGTTGTGTTCACATTCTGGACTCCTCAAAATCTGCATCTGAATACAAAGAAAACCACAGGCTCCAAACCATGCCTTCTTCTTCGAAGTATTTGCAGCCAGAGCCCAGCTGTCAGGAGAGAAATCCTGTCTCCAGGATGTGCTGACATTTTCTCGTTGCAAATGTTGGCCATTCTCATCTCCTGGCTGGTGGACAATCTCTTCACTTGTTCCTTAAAAGAGAACTGTTTGCTCAGGATTGAGCCCCAAGGTCATATATTAACCCCTCTTTGCATAGGTTACATTTCACAGTCCCAGAGCCTTTTTTTTTTTTTAAGATTTTATTTATTTATTTGAGAGAGAGAGAATGAGAGAGAACATGAGAGGGGGGAGGGTCAGAGGGAGAAGCAGACTCCCCACAGAGCAGGGAGCCCGATGCGGAACTCAATCCAGGGACTCCAGGCTCATGACCTGAGCCGAAGGCAGTCACTTAACCAACTGAGCCACCCAGGCGCCCCTCACAGTCCCAGAGCCTTTATAAACTACAGGCTTAAAAAAAAAACTCCATTTATTATGGCAACAACCCTCCTCCATCAAGAAGGTCTAATAAATGAGCTCATATTTTAGTGACCCCTAAAATACACAAGGTTAATCATCTTTCATGAGATGCTCATGGCTTCTTGACTTATTACTGGTCTAAGGCATCATTTGCTAATGAGTTTAAAATGATTTTCCCCCATTCAACTCCTTTTCTTCACTATATCTCCCCTCTTTTACTACCAATGATTTTTGGTTGATTGATTACTTAGGAGTCTAGTCAAATCTCTCTAAGCCTGAGACACACACCTTTCAGTTCCAGATTATGAGGCGGATGCTCTGTTGGCAGATGAATATGAGTGATGGACACGTGAGCATGTTCAGGGCCCCTGGAGGAAGAGGAACACTTTCCCTCAGCTGAGCCTGCCTTGCCTTACCTGGATGATTCGTAAGATAGTCAACCATAACCCTTACTCAAAACAAGCTCCCTTTTACTGCATGGCGATCTCCCTTTTACAAATAATGATTTCCCTGACTTTTTGATGGGCTCTGACACACAAGCCCAAGCCATGCAAGACTTCTCCCAAGGGGAAAGTTTGATGGGATTAAATTTATGTTTCGGCTTCCTGCCCCCATTTCTCTGAACGCCTCTGAGGCATAGGCTTCTGCTTACTGTCCTATGGAGAGAAAGAGATAAGGTCATCTGTAATGGTCTCCACGCATCTGCGCTCCAGTAGAGGTAAAATGACACATTTCGTGGGAACCCATTGTGGATAGCATGTGGACAGAAGGGCAGCAGGGTCACTGGGTAATTCAAAGCTCATTAGAGCATAATGCTCTGGCAGGGAAGGTCATGTGTTCATTACAGAAGAAAGCGGGATAGCCGACCTCTTGCCTTCCAAGATCACGGTCTGCTCACCTAAGCACATGCAGATAGCGCACAAAGCAAAGGCATCTTTTGGCCACTTTCAGGATGAGTGTGAAGATGAGGAAGGAGCACAGGCTTTCCATTTTTTATAGCATTGGAAATAATTTTCAAACTTTCCAAGTTTTAACTCAAACCTCAACAGATAGGCTTGATGAGAATGAGGATGCCCTGGTTCAAGCTGGGAGTGGGGACCAGCGTCCTGCCTAGCAAGTCTGTTCCAATCCCAATGCCATCTCCCACCCGTGGCTCCCAAGGATGTCAGCAGTATGACCTCCAGAGCCCATGAACATGTCACCTTACATGAGAGAAGGGGCTTTGAAAGTCAGGTTGAGATGGGGAGATTATCCTA